CATAATTCAGCTCCTTATCGTGTTACCGTGGTTCACACCTATAATCTTAGCACTCTGGAAGGCCAAGGCTGGAGGATCACTTAAGTTCAGGAGTTGGAGACCAGCCTAAGCAAGAGCAAGACCCATTTCTACCAAAAACAGAAAAACTAGCTGGGCCTGGTGGTATACACCTGTAGTCCCAGCTATAGGGGAGGGTGAGGCAAGACGATAGCTCAAGCCCAAGAGTTTGAGGTTGCTGTAAGATATGACCTGAGGGCACTCAACCCAGGGTGACAAACAAAACAAACTCCCCCCCCACCCCAAACATAAAAATTAGCCAGAGGAGAGACAGGGGGATGCCTGTATTCCCAGCCACTCAGAAGGCTTCAGGAGATCACTTGAACTCAGTTTTGAGGTTGCAGTAAGCTGATCTGATACACTGCCCTCTAGCCTGGAGCAACAGAGTTAAGATGCCTGTCTCAAAAAAAAAAAGCAAAATTCACCCAGACCATTCAGTAATGCTATTTTCCTAAGTTCTACTAGATCCCAAATAGCTACACCTTCATGTTTTGCATTTTAGAACAAAAAGGTAGACTGCCAACTCTGTAAAGGTTTATTTTTGTGTCTACAATCTAGATAACTTAGACATCTAGAAATAATAGTATTGGCCACGTGCAATGGCTCACACCTGTATTGCTATTATCATCTAGGTGCATAAAATAAAATGCTTAAAAACATAAATAAACTTTTTAAAATATAGTCTCACTCTGCTGCCTAGGCTAAAGATGCCATGGCCTCAGCTTAGCTCACAGCAACTGCAAACTCCTGGGCTCACATGATCCTCCTACCTCAGCCTCCTGAGTAGATGGGACTCCTACCACATCATCTAGCTGTTTTCTATTTTTAGTAGAGCTGGAGGTCTTGCTCTTTTCAGGCTGGTCTTGAACTCATGAACTCAAGGGATCCACCTATCTTGGGACTCCCAGAGGATTACAGGTGCGATACTGGTGATATGGAACTTTTTATCATATCACACCCAATGAATCTAAGAAAACAGACTAATGTAGTGGCTGAAGTGAAACCATTTCTCCTTTAGTTAAAAAATAAAGCATGGTGGCTCAGGCCTGTTCTCCCAGCAATGTGGGAGGCTAAGGCAAGGACTGCCTGAGTCCAGGAGATAGAGCAGTGTTCTCTACCTGACCACAGGAACTGTATTAAAGGGTCTCAGCATTAGGAAGGTTGAGAACGAATGAGTTAGAAGTTGCAGTGAGCTATAATCCTGCCACTATACTCCAGCCTGGGCAGCAGAGTCAGGCCCTGTACCCTGTACCTTTAAAAAAAAAAAAAAAAAAAAAGTTAAAAATTCACCACTTAGGGTGATGCCTGTGGCTCAGTGGGTAGGGAGCCAGCCCCACATGCCATAGGTGGCGGGTTCAAACCCTGCCCCTGCTGAACTGCAACAAAAAAATAGCCAGGCCTTGTGGTGGGCGCCTGTAGTCCCAGCTACTCAGGAGGCTGAGGCAAGAGAATCGCCTAAGCCCAGGAATTGGAGGTTGCTGTGAGCTGTGACATCACAGCACTCTACTGAGGGGGATAAAGTTAGACTCTGTCTCAAAAACAAACAAACAAACAAAAAAAACCCCACCACTTAAAAATCTGCTTGATCTGAAACTCTCAAATATAATCTTTCTCCAGGATTGAAAGTGTTCTTTACAAAATGTGACTCTATACTATTATTTTATATGGGGCTAAATATGACTAAAACATAATATACACAAAAGGAATTTGACAAGAATAATAATTTGCTATATATTATTATAAATGTCCTAAGGTTCTTTTCCTATAAATTCAAATGACTTTTTCCTATGACTGATAAAAACACTTATCAGACTCCTGAGGTAAATGATAATTAAGTAAAAATACTTAAAGTACTTCAAAATAGAAAATGACACTACTGACTTATCAATATTAACTTTTTCAACTTGTTAGCATCACTGAACCCAACCAAGGGTAAAGATTTTTGAATTTTAAATACTCAACGTCAAGAAAACATTTTAAATCTATAGTTATGAAAGTTCTCTATATTGATGAAAATAAATAGGGTATAAAGGGTTCAGGATGCCCATGAACATAGCAGGTACTCTCACACAAATGCTAATTCCTTTCACCCAACATTTATTTTCATGGTGCTAACTTGAAGAACATCTAAGAAAATTAGGGCCGGCCTCTGGCTCATTTCCTGCCTGTAATCCTAGCAGTCTGGCAGGTAGTGGCAGGTAGGTGGATCCCTAGAGCTCAGGAGTTCAAGACCAGCCTGGGCCAGAGCATGTAGTCCCAGCTACTTGGGAGACTGAGGCAAGAAAATCACTTGAGCCTAAGCACTGGAGGTTGCTGTGAGCTGTTTAACACTGTGGCACTCTATCCAGGGTGACAAAGTGAGATTCTGTCTTAAAAAAAAAAAAAAAAAAAAAGCCAAAAAAAACTTCCCCCAAAACCTAAGAAATTATGACAGTGATGGCTCAATGACCACAGGGTAGGCTGAGACATTAACTCTCTTTTGCAAAGCAGTGGAAGGAAAAACATCACAACTCACGTGGTTGTTTGTCAAAAAGGAACATTCATCAACATATGAATCAATAAACCTATTAAAAGATTACAACCAAAAACTTCCTGCTTTAATACATCTGCACAGAAGACTAACACAAGGTTATGCAGAAGACCTGTTCTTTTTTAAAAATGTTTTGATTTAAATAAAAAATATTTCATTTTCAATTAAATGTTTACTGAAAGAGCTTGAATACTTTCTTTTTCAGAGTGTGTGGGGGATAAGGGATATGTTTTACTTCAAAAGTAAATTTCTGTTTATCATGGGATGATAAAATGGCTTTCTTCAAATTCATGAAAATGAAACAATAAGGTATGACTGGTCTTTTTTTATATTGAACAAATCATTTATTTGGCACTACTAAGTGCCAGACACTGACTTAAGACTTTCAATTTCTCTGAAGCCCACACTAAAAATTTTCAATTAAGTTTACACGTTGACAACATGTCTTTTCATTTCTGCTTGAGTAGATAGGAAATACATATTAGATGTTTTAAAAAATTAAACAATAGTGTTGTCAACTTTGAAAGAAGCAACAATTTTAAGTTACACTTAAAACCAGTAGCAACAACTTGAAACACCACACTCCTGTGTCTTACAAAAAAAAGCAGTTTAAGTTAACACCTATTACTATTTGGAATTTTATTCTATTATGACTAAAACACATGCAACCATCAAAATGCTACATTAAAACCCCACAAAACAGAAAGCAAACTATTGCTAAACAAAATAATCGTTTACTGGAGTTCAACTGAGACTTAAGTGAGATCAAACATTTCAAATCACAATACTGACACACCAAAATGTCATGAAATAAACTTCTTTTTGAACTCCAAGTCGTTCCTCGAGCAAAATTTACCAAAAAGGCACGCAAGGGACCCAATCCAAACTTATAGCCATTTTTAAATATGGGTCTATGATAAGCGTTTAAAATTTAAAAAACCACTTTTAAAATTTAAAAGACACCTTTATCCAACGGAATGTCATTGCATTTTAAAAAGCTGATTTTAATTTAGAATGAAGCAATTCTGCCAAAAGACGGTCTGTTGTTGGGTAAAGATTAAAACAACATATAAACGGTTCAAAAAGCCCTCCATATGCAAAGTAGAAAAAGGCGGGAGTAGCTTCATTTCAAATTTTGTTTGGAAATCAGTATGTCACAAATTGCCCTCTAGGGAGCGCTCTCAGACTCTGCTGCAAGTCATTTCAGTTAATAAAGCGGGAAAACGCTCAAACTACAGGTTACTATGGCATTTTGGAGCCGACCCTCCCCAAGCTTCCGAAAAGGACACAGAAGTCCCTTAGTGTCCACCGCCGGCGGTCAGCTGGCTGAGGACTCCCGAGTCACCGGCGCGGCCCAAATCTGCGCGCAAAATAACCGCCGCTAACGCAACTTCACGCCTCCCGGACACACAACGACAGAAGCCGCGAGCTGCAACTTCGGGACCCCCTCCCTCGCGACCCCCCCCCAGGCCCGCACCCCGCGGCGGGGGAGCGGTACGACGCGGCGCCCGGGAGGGAGGGGCGGCGGCGGCGGGGGGCGAGCGCGCGCCGCCACCGCCAAACGCCCGCCTTTGTGGCCCCGGCCCGGCGTCCTTACCCTGCCGACGGCGGCCCGGCTGCGGCCCGCGGCGGCGGTCCCGGAGCCGAGGACCGGGGTGGGCTCGCGCTCCTCGTCGCTGGAGAAGTCCGGGGGCCCCTTGCTGTTGGCGCCCGCGGCGAGCGGCGGCCGGTTGCGCGCCGTGAGGTGCTGCAGGTAGAGCTGTACGTACACGTCTTTGCGCTGCTCCCCGGCCGGGAGCGTCACATTGTTGGCGACCAACTCACTCTTCAACTTGTCTTTCGTCAGGACCGAGGGGTCTTCCAGGAACTCCGGCATCGCGGGGGATCTGCGAATCCCCTTCCCCGCAGCCCTCCCAGCCGCCGCTCACGCCGGCGCGCTCGCTCCTGGCCGGGGGCCGCGCGGCCGCCTCCGAGCCTCTCGGCTCCCGCCCGGGACGGACGCCTCCGGGCACAGCGGAAACTCACGGACACAAAGCCGAGCCGACCCCCGACACAAAGCCCGAGGAGCGCAACTGCGGACCAAGTGCGGCCAAGCTGGAAGCCGTCACCAACCCCAGCCCACACACTACAGGCAGGAGGCGAGCAGCCTGCTTCGCCCACGCCCCAAGACCGCGCGCCACCATTGGCTGGCGGCGGGAGGAAGCGCGGCGGTGATTGGCGGGCCGGCCCGCGCGGGTTCCATTAACCGCGGCGCCGAGCGAGAGGTGGTGGATACGCAGTTTAAAAGCCGCTCGGGCGGGAGCCGGGGCGCTTGGTCCGCTTGTGTTTTCGTTTCCTCCACCCTTCTCGGGCGCAGCTAAAGGACAGGTTGCACCGCTTTGGGGTGCCGTTTCTTCTCCATCCCCTGCTTGAGAAGAAGTCTTCCCCTGTAGGGTCGATCGGGCCGAATACCCCGCCAGCTGTGAGGACCCTTGGCTGGGCCTTTCTTCCTCCCGGGACACCGACCCACCGAAGAGCAGCCGCGGCTTTGCCTTCCCCACACGCTAGCCCTGCAGGGGAAGAAAAGAAGCGAGGCTGTCTGCAGGCACTTTCATTCCTGGATTTGATTTACTGGCGGGGGCGGGGGAGGGCAGGGAGGTAAATCCCCTGCTCTCTGCTCGCGAACGCATCTTTTGTTCTTGAGATTCAGGACAAGCCAGACTTCTACTACTGGGCACTTCAGAAGGGGAAAAAAAATGTATTAAATATACCATTAGCTTCTTACGGTAAAGGCTGGGGCATTTCCAAGTTGTTTCCGTCGAATAATTGGGGTTCAAGACGCATCCATGGATGCATTGTCGTTGAAAGCTGTCTCTGGGTGAGATTCCCCCCCCCCCCATATAAGTATTTTACCATATCCCGAGCAAACGTAACGTTGGATAACTTAACCAAATGAAATGGAACCTTTAGGAGCCCTTTAATGGCCAACTTGAAATAACTGAGATGGTGCATCTTAGATTTTAATCCCAGAGGTAACCCAGTGACCTATATTTAGGCCGGGGACCTTAGTCAAACCTGTATTACTGATGCAAATGAAAACCAGGAAAGAAGTTGATATTGGATTAGGGTTTTTCAATCACTTCCCAAGATTCTGAGCTATAAATTATGCTTTAGAAGATGCCTTAATTTTTTTTAAATGTTTACCTGATTTCTACAGGATTAAATAAGAATAAATTTCAAGCAGACACACTAAAAATGTTTCTTGTTGATTTAAGCCGTTTTGTTCAGATTGAGGAGACATTACTCGTATCTTTTAATAATGGGTTATTTGTATAGAAATTATTTTTCTAGATTTTTCTAAAAATATCAGTATTCACATATATTTAAGCAATGGTATTAAGCTCAATAATGCAAATTAAAACTTGTTTTAAAAATTGTAGCAAATTGTTTTGTAGAGTTTTATGATGTAGCCTTGTAAAAGCTACTCATTTTTTGCCCCCACAGCTTCCCTGGGCACATAAGCAGGTGTTTTTATCATTAAAAGAGAAACTGAGCTGAGAGGAAAAGGACCATGATGAATAGTGACTAGTAACAGCAAGTATAATGCATCTGGGATGGTCTCCATCTGCAGTGTGTCTACCACAGCTTAAAGATTTCTTCCAGTGTGGTCTCAAATTATAATTTGCAGAGAAACAAAGTCCTGAGCTCCATCTCGGCAAGACTGCAGTAGATAAAATAGGGCTTATTTTCAGGCCTGTAATCCTAGCACTCTGGGAGGCTGAGGTGGGTGGATTACCTGAGCTCAGGAGTTTGAGAGCAGCCTGAGAAAGAGCAAGAACTGGTCTCTAAAAATAGCTGAGCGCTGTGGCCAGTGCCTGTAGTCTCAGCTGCTCAGCTCCTCTAGAGGCTGAGGCAAGAGAATGGCTTGAGCCCAAGAGTTTGAGGTTGCTGTGAACTCCAGGGCACTCGACCCTGGGGGACAAAGAGACTTGGCACCCGTAGCATAGTGGTTACGGCTCCGACCACATGCACCAAGGCTAGCGAGTTTGAACCTGGCCCAGGCCTGCTAAACAACGACAACTGCAACAAAAAAATAGCCAGGCGCTGTGGCAGGCGCCTGTATTCCCAGCTACTTAGGAGGCTGAGGCAAGAGAATCGCTAAAGCCCAAGAGTTTGAGATTGCTGTGAGTCGTGACATCATGGCACTCTACTGAGGCTGACATAGTGGGACTCTGTCTCAAAAAAAAAAAGAGGGGGGGCTTATTTTGCCCTGTTTGGCTTAATAAATTATCTGGTTAGGTTACTTTACTCATTGAAGAATATGGGTCTAGCCTGACAGTATGGATATTCTTTTTTTTTTTTTTTTTTTTAAAGAGACAGGGTATTGCTCTGTGGCCCAGATTGAAATGCAGTGGAACAATCTTAGCTCCCTTTAACTTTGAATTCTTTGGCTTACATGATTTTTGCACTTCAACCTCCAGAGTAACTAGGACTAGGAAGGTGTGAATGGTTAATTTTTAACTTTTTTTTTAGGGTCAGAAATCCCACAAGTGCTGAGATTACAGACATGAGCACCTGGCCTGTACTAATGCTTTTTAAGGGGTAGGTTTTGCTGTTCTGACTGAAAAGGGTCAGAGTTGCCAGGGCTAGATTTGATCTGACTGAGGTGGAGTACATAGTAGGGTCTCCAGGCTCTGACAGCTGCCCTTAGATATGAGGATATCTGGGCCTCGAGGCCCCTCAAATGGATCCTCAGAAGACTCAGGTCACTGATATCTGACAATCATCTACCTAAGATATGAACAGAATACAAAGCTGGGGTTTCAGCCATCTGAGGACACATTGCAAATGCTTTCTTCAAAGGACCTATGATCCAGGAATTTTCCAGGTAGTTTAATCCTTAAAAAAAACAACTCATCCTACTTTTTCCCACAAACGAAAAACAATCACCTGTTGAGTCTGAAAGTTGTTTTAAATATACAATACTCTGCCTTATGGGCCAGCATTCAGTGTGTGACTCACAAAGAACTGCATTCTAGAGGCCAGCAGTTAGTGGTCTCCTAAGCAAAAAACATTATTTTCATCCTTTTTCGTTCAGGATCTCTCTTTCTTATCCTTGTTTTGGCTAGATAGGCAGGAAAGCCATGAAGAACAGAAGACCCCCATCACAGCCTCCCCATCTCCATCTGTGAGTTGGCTTGGAGCAGGGGTCCTTAAACTTTTTAAACAGGGGTCCAGTTCACTGTCTTTCAGACCAGTGGAGGGCTGGACTGCGGGCCCGGGACGAGTAGGCTGCTAAGGAGGACAGGTAGCAGCAGCAGAAACACCCAGTGGGCTGGATAAATGTCCTCAGCAGGCTGCGTGTGGCCCGTGGGCGGTAGTTTGTTTCCTCTCTCCTGTGTCACAGGTATCCCTCGCCTCTTAGCCTTCTGAAACCTACCACAGCTACACTTCCCCTGCCACTGTCTGTGCTCCCTCCAGCCCAGGTTCCTACCCTCTGACAGAAGAGCTGTGAGGGTGGAAAAGACGGAAAAGACTCAGTCCTCCTCTCATACGGTGCTTGGAAAGTTACTTCTTTTCTTCTCCATAAGCACGGCTCTACTCCCTTTTGTGTAAGAACTCTGAATACTTCCAAGCTCTTTGCTGCTCACAGTTGGCACGGAATCTGTCTCGTATTTCCTTTGCGCTGCTCATTTTCCCCCATCATGCTGTCTAGAAGCACCATGTCCTTGGCACAGAGCTGGCCAATTACCCCATTCTTTTTGGATACACGGCTTCATTCCCTATATATTTTCACTAGGCATCTTTTTAACGGTTACTATGTCTCCTAAATTGGCGGCTTTAAGTGTTCCACTGATTGGACGAGGCATAAGAGGGACCTTCTTTCTTAGCTCGTGCATACAGCTCCTCCTTTTACCCATCGATCTGATGATCCCTCAGTGATCAGGTCCTTACTTTCTATTCATATAATCTTCCAATTATACGGTCAGACTGCTTGGAACATTGAATGTCCACAAAATCTTTTGAATTTGCAATCCTGTGGACTCTACTGTCCACACTGCAGGCTTCTTTGGTAGGACAGGGGATGTATCCCTCCCCTCCCTTCCTCTTTTTCCCTCTCACCTTCCTAATCCTCCTTTCCTTTCACTGACTTACCCTGACACAATTTATTACTGCTTTTTGGGGGGTTCTCAATTTGGACTTTATTGACCCTGATCAACTCATAAGATTGGCTACTTTTCATTGCAGATCCAGGGACCCACAGCAGCCATGCTGCAGATGCTTTATGTCAGGTTTTAGAGATGTAGCAATCTCCAGGGAACTTCCCCATTTTGCTTACCGCAGATTCCTTGTACTTCCATTTTATGCCTAGTGAGACACCTCCTATGTAAGTTTGGCCTATGCTCAGAAAGCAGTGAGGGTGATTGGTCATGGGAAGCAACAGATCATCCTGGGAAATGCCAATCTCTTTGGTTGACATACCCTCTTTTAAGGGCTTCCCCCTCTTTTTTTTTTTTTTTGAGACAGAGTCTTGCTCTGCTGCCCAGGCTAGAGTGCCATTGCATTGTAGCTCACAGCAACCTCAAACTCTTGGACTCAAGTGATCCTCTTCTGTCAGTCTCCAGAGTACCGGGATTATAGCCTGCCAAACAATGTCTGGCTAGTTTCTCTATTTTTAGTAGAGATGGGGGAGAGGTCTCACTCTTGCTTAGGTTGGTCTTGAACTCCTAAGCTCAGGAAGTCCACCTGCCTTGGCCTTCCAGAGTGCTGGGATTACAGGTATCTTGGGTTTCAAAGTCCTCCAGGCAGTTAGGAGGCCCAAGGACACTGGGTGCTAGTCAGACCATCAGATAACCAGGGATGCCTGGATTCACTGACCAAGGTCCTTGTTCCTTTTCTTACAGGTCCCCCTGCCTGCCGGAGAAATAGAAAAGTACTCAAGGGTAATTTTCAGCCCATTCATACAGACTCCCATTTAGGTTACAACATGAGCAACTGGATGGGATTAACAAGAAAAGCTTATTTTCTTTTGTAATACTGCCTGTAAATTCACAATATGAGTTAGGAGATGGAGAGATATGGCCTGAAAATGGGACTCTACATTTTAACACCATAATGTACTTAGATTTGTTTTGTAAAGAACAAAAAACTGGATGTGGAGCAGTTAGGCAGCCTGGCCAATATGCCATAAGGGCCACTGCTTTTATGGCAGTACATCAGAACCCAGACCTCAGGAGAACGTGCTAGATTTAGTATATTTTCATTTCTTCTTGAGACCCAGCAGGAAGAAAAAGCCTGATAACCTTGATGACCAGTCCTTGGGAGTGTACCACCTATGAGCCAGGCTTCCAAGGCCATGGGAACAAACCCAGATCAGAGCCCAAAACAGGATCTGTCTCCACCCAGAACTTAGCTCTGTGTGGTTAACAAGAAATGGAACCCCTTATCACCCTAATCTGCTGCCAAATTATTTCCTCTATGGGAAGTGACAAATGGGGATGCTGGGACCATTCGAATACATGTACCTTTCTCCATGACCAACATGTCACAATGAAAGCAAAAGATAGGTAAGTTTTCTGAAGACATTTCTTGCTTCTTAGAATTCCAGACCTTGCCATGGTCTTTTGAAATGACCTGGGGGGATATATGTATAAGTTTACCTACCTGTTGTACCCCGCAATGAGAAATGACACATCAGAATGCAGTTTGGACCGTGCTGAAGATTTAGCAGTTAGGCAGCCTGGTTAATATGCATGCCACAAGGGCCCCTGCTCTACCTTGCAAGGACCCCACTGGAATTACCAAAGGGGAAAGGTGAACTTTGTTTTTTTTTTTTTTTTTTTTTGAGACAGAGCCTCAAGCTATCCCCCTGGGTAGAGTGCCATGGCATCACAGCTCACAGCAACCTCCAACTCCTGGGCTCAAGCGAGTCTCCTGCCTCAGCCTCCCAAGTAGCTGGGACTACAGGCGCCTGCCACAACGCCCAGCCATTTTTTTGGTTGCAGCCATCATTGTTGTTTGGCGGGCCCGGGCTGGGGATTCAAACCCGCCACCTTAGTTGTATGTGGCTGACGCCTTAGCCGCTTGAGCCACAAGTGCCAACCTGGGAAAGGTGAACTTGAGGAGGGACCATATGCTTCTTTGCCTTCAGGAATAAATAAAGAAATGTATTATGAAACCTGTAAAGTACAACAAAGTCAGAGAAATAACTCAGGAACCAGGGGGAGAAAACAGTCCTTTCCCAGGGATGCTTGATTGATGCAATCAGAAAATACACAAATATAGATCCATACTCCCTGGAGAGCCAAATATAAATGGGAACTCATTTATAAACAAGTCAGCCCCTAATATCCACAGAAAACTACAAAAGCTGGCCATAGCACTCCAACTTCCTACTCACCTGCTCTTAGACAAGGCCTTTGAGATGTTTAATAACAGAGATGTGCTGTTATCTGCTGTGTATAATGCATACTTTTGCCCAAATCTTTGAGGAAAAAATAAAGGTGTGCATTAACATGTGTGGTACTAATTCCTTATCTATATAAATGTTTCTCAATTCTTTTATTTAGGTTTATGTGTTAAAAGTGTAACACTAAAATCAGTAATGATATCCATATGAAAAATAATACCCAGAAATACAGTAATTGGTTTTGTTGAATTTATGATGAACTTTCAATGAAAACATGTTTGGCCAGCAAAGAGTGACATATTTCTCTTTGTACACTTTAGGCAGGAGCTAGTAATATAGCTGATATTTTTATAAAAAATATTGGAAAATCTCATGGAAAATATTGAAACAGGCTGGGCATGATGGCTCATGCCTGTAATCCTAGCACTCCAAGAGGCCGAGGAGGGTGGATTGATTGAGCTCAGGAATTTAACACCAGCCAGAGCAAAATCGAGACCCCATCTCTACTAAAAATAGAAAAACTTGCCAGGCATTGTGGCAGGCATCTGTACTCCCACCTACTTGGGAGCCTGAGGCAAGAGGATCACTTGAGCCCAAGAGTTTGAGGTTGCTGTGAGCTATGATGTCTTAGCTCTCTACTGATGGCAACAAAGTGAAACTTTGTCTCAAATTAAAAAAAAAATTTCAAAACAGGTTTGTTTTTTTTTTTTTGCAGCTTTTGGCTGGGGCTAGGTTTGAACCTGCCACCTCCAGCATACGGGGCTGGTGCTTTACTCCTGTGAGCCACAGGTGCTGCCCTCAAAACAGTTTTAATACACTGCAGCTTTAAGTTATTATTATTATTATTTTGAGACAGAGTCTCATTTTGTTGCCCTTGGTAGAGTGCCTGGCATTACAGCTCACAGCAACCTCTAACTCTTGGACTCAAGTGATTCTCTTGCCTCAGCCTCCCAAGTAGGTGGGACTACAGGCGCCCACCACAGTGCCCAGCTATTTTTAGAGACAAAGTCTTGCTCTGGCTTAGGCTGATCTCGAACCTGTAAGCTCAGGCAGTCCACCCCCCTCAGCCTCCCAGAGTGCTAGGATTATAGGCATGAGCCACTGTGCCTGGCTGCAAGTGAACAGTTATTAAATATGCAAAAAAGCATGGCAACAGCGCTGCCGAGAGACACTTTGGACCTCCTCCCCCAGAGTGTCATCAGATTGGTGAGGCAACAGGAAGAAACCACCTCAGATGCCAAGACAGAGGAAGGTAATGAGAAGGAAACCTCCAAGGTGGCTGGATGTGGAGCAGGAGGTGAAGACCTGGATTCGGGAGCAGCATCAAACTGGGATCTCTGTTTCAACCAAGATGACGTAAGAAGAGGATAAATGGATTCTATGAGAAAAACGCATTGATGATTGCTCAGAGACACCTAAATGGTGATGTAACTTTACGAAGAGAGAAGGTCTGAGAGTGAGGACACGAACAAGACTTTCCCCCAAACTTCCAGCAGTCCATGGGAATCAAGTTTTAGAATTTCAATCTTATGTTATCAATCTTTGAAAGACTTACCACTTTGAACTGTCCCAAATCACCAATCTGGATGAGTTACACTCACATTTGATCTGTGGATGTCAAAGAGGCAAAGACTGTGGTTATTAAGATGGGAGATGAGAAAACACACTTCACTGTTGTTTAAGCCCATTATGCAGATGGGACAAAGATACCACCTGTAATTACTTTCTTTTTTTTTTTTTTT